GCCAGGTTCGGCTCGCAGCTACGCCACCGTGGCCCCTCGCAGACAGCGGCCCCCGACGTCGAGGTCCTCGACCCTGCAGCGGAATGCAACCATCTGCACCTCCGAGATGGAACCAGGTGTGGCGGTGGCCGTCGGAGTGGATGAAGGGAGCGCTGCAGGGAGCTGGTCCTCGAACGGAAGCCAGAAGGAGCGCCAGACGGCAGCCGAGGCTGACCGCGCCCCCGCCGCGTCTGCACCCCCCCGGGGGCTGGTGCGAAGAGCGAGCCTCTTCGCGGACTTCTCGTGGCAGTCACCGCTCCAGGCGCACTGTCCCTCGGACCCGGCGTCTTCCGCAGACGGCCCTGACGGCTCAGTCGACGCCTCCAACAGTTAATTTGTAGATGGAATGATACAATGCAGGTTGCTGGAGAGGTGGACTAGAAGGTAAAATGCAGCAGTCGATCGGGAGTCCAGGAGAGTGCGTGTGTTGACTAAAATTATTCACCTTAGACATATATTTACGAATATATAATGTAGCTGCATCCTGCCTATCCTTTAGCTGATTCATTCGCATGACTAATAACACCATTTTTCACTCAACCAGAATCTGAAGCGCTTGGGAATCTTAAGTTCTAAAATGCTAACATCCTCCTTCCGAACAGGAGACAGAAGATGGTGCTGGTGCGAAGTAGTTAAGGAATCTGGATGGGCGTGTGTGTCGGAGTGCCGACTGCAGTGAGCGGCTGCCAGGTAAGCGAGGAAAACCCGAACCCTGAACCTGATCCTGATTTACTCAGTTCCCGTAGATTTTATTCTTTGTTTTGTCTTTTTCTCCCGAAAGTAAGAAGGTCTCCATAGGCAGCTGCACAGTTATGGATAATCAGATATTCATTCACTTTCCAGTCAAAACGAACGAACAATAGATATCTAATCACTCCCCATCCCTTTTGATAAACTGATGAAGTTTAGGCGTTCAATTTATTGACTCATTCAACGAAAGCATAATCCATCAAAAAAGGCCAATCCAAATACAGATATACACTTCACGTCAATAAAAAAACGACAGACATCACATGAATAACAAAGAAATGCCTTATTGGATGGAATGGGCATGGGGCAGCAGAAAGGGCGTTGTTTGTTCTGATATGTGCCTGTGAATGTTAGTGTATGTAGGTAGATGGATAGCCAGGCGAAATGATATCGAGGTGGAGGAAGATGAGTTGTCCAAGAGCGTGTATTCCTTTAATTTCATTTCAGTCTGTTTATACATATGTGTGTGTGTACGCGCGCGCGCGCGCGCGTGTGTGTGTGTATGTATGTGTGCGTGTGCGTGTGTGTTTTATTTCATTCAACTTTATTTTGCTTAATTTGATTTGATGTTATTTTATTTCGTAATCATTATGTTACATCATAATCTGCTATATTTCATTATGATATATCCTATTCTATCATATTCTTTTAAATTTTATTACATTCTATTATGTCATATTTTTTCTATTCTGTCTTATCTTATCTTATTCTATTTCACACCACATTCCCCTTTATCTGATCTGGCTTCATCTCCCTTCCAGGCGGGTCCTCCCAGCACGGCGACCCTGCGCCTCTCTCTCCGGCGCTCTCGCGAGTCTCGGCCCGAGGTGATGGATGCCACGTTCTCCGGCGCAATGTCTTTTCCGTGGATAAGTTTCACCTCTCAGTGGAGGTGGATTATTTTGTATAGGCTTACGTATATGTTTTCTGTATCCCACACAACGTTGAACATGTATGATGCCGTTTTGATGTTAGATAAATGAGATTTCTTGCTTGTGTGTTTTATTCTATGCTTTCCCTCTCTTTCCCTCACTCTCTCTCTATCTCTCTCTCTCTCTCTCTCTCTCTCTCTCTCTCTCTCTCTCTCTCTCTCTCTCTCTCTCTCTCTCTCTCTCTCTCTCTCTCTCTCTCTCTCTCTCCCTCTCTCCTCCTCTTTAATTGTACATAAATTAATAAAACTCCTTATTGTGCAATAAGCAAATGTGTAACTTCCAAGACCAAGACTACCAAGTTTCACACTGACTTGGAGCCACTCAGCATAGCTCTATCGTGTTGCCAAAAATCGCAAGAGCTTATCATGACTAGACCAGATATCTAGTAAACACACAAAAATATGTGTGTGTGTGATTGTACTTGTCACTAAAATTAGTAGGTCTTAGGAATGCTGCCGTCCCGGTTGTTTTTTCAGTGGAATAAGCCAGGCAGGAATTCAGTACCATCTGTTTTCTACCGAAACCAACGGCTCCCAGGCTGTGTGCTCCTCAAAGCAGGGGGCTGTCACGGGAAAGAAATTAATTCCCTTTGATACACGGTCGCATCAATTTCCTGTGTGAAATTCCTTCATTTTTAATTTCGCATTTCTCATTATCTTACTTTGTTGCGATGGGAATAATGGCGATATTAGTTATAATACTCATGGTATCGGCGTCAATATAAAAAATAGCAATGATAATGATTATGGTGATAACAATGATAATGGTGATGATATTGATGATGATGTTGATGATGATGATGAGGAGGAGGAGGAGGAGGAGGATGACGATGACGATAAGGATGATCGCGATGGAGATGATGATGAGGATGATAATGATGACGATGAGGAGGAGGAGAAGGAGTAGGAGAAGGCTGTGAGCCTTACCTCTCACTTCTCTTGGTTATTTCTACATATCTTGACGCTCAAGACGATCATGAGTAGCAGAGTACATAACCATGATGCATGAAATGTTTCGACATCGTTCTTTAACAGTGGAAAAAGACGGCATATGGTTACAAATTACGCAGGGCCCACGGAACTTAAGCAAGACAGTGTCAGTATTATGTATCGCTAACTTTTTTTATGGATTAGCTATTGTTTCTTGAATATCTGTATAATATTACCTTGATTGGATTTTTCAGTTGCGATATCATAAAAGTTCAAGTATTTTGTAAATGTCTATTGTGTTTATCGTATATTTCACATTATTTATAATTAAGACTCGGAGATGCGTGTGTAACTTGCATTGTATGAATGCGCTGTTTCATATTTTCATAACTTGCGTTTGTGAAAATCCACCTAGGTCAATTATTTGAGTGGTCCTGAATCTACATACTCTAAGTAAATCTATATATATTTACATAAAATCCACATTCCCGAAACTTCTTCTACGTGTAATGTAACACTTTCTGATTATTGACATAACAGATCACATGCAGTATACATCGGTATATACAATGCAACAGCTGTAAATAAAGATGTATATCCTACTGATAAGTCTGGTGAGTTATGCTAAGCATATTTTTCCATATAAATGCAAGATTACAGGCGACAGGATCTCGTATGTGCATATTTCGTAAAAGAAGAGAATGATTACTCCCAGTATTTAGAATGCTTGAGTTCGGCCTCCCTTTAGTCCAATAAGGTTCTATGAAATATATTTATTGATCTTCCATTTTAAGAAAGTGACGATATGTGACTTATCTATCTTATCTGGGAGATTAAAAATTCGATTCCTTAAAGTCAGTTAAATTCTTTCCTTGATTTGTTACATTTTCCCTTTCCCACATTTTCATCCAATTCATTGGAATGAATCTCTCTGCCGAATGAGATTTCCGTTCGTCCCGACTGAAAAATAAAATGTCTGGAAAAATAGCTAGACCGAAGATTCTCAAGTCAAGGTGTAGTTTTTACATAGTGAGTTTAGAGATGTTGCAAAATACTTCTCAAACTTTGGCTCAGATGATCATGCTCTAGCAATGTCATTAGCCTACTTAATACACACATGGATAAGAATCTAAAAAAATGGTTCAGGTCTTACTGCATTATCAGTGATGTTAGCTATAACGTATTAGTGTTGTTTTAAGACTTGTTGCGTACGTTGTTCTAAATAAAACAACATTACTATATTCCACACATGATGCATACTGTTCTTCATATGTATTATGCTTCTTTCTTTCGCACGCTTATACGTAACTCAAAATTTACATATACATTGCCGTTAAGTTCCGCTGCTGCGTGGTTACTACACACGAGACGTCTAAAAAGTATGGCTTGTTGCTGACTTTTATCCAATTAATATTTTTCGGGATATTGGTGTAGGAAGCCGAGGTTATCGGCCGTTAAAGGCACTGGGTAGTATGAATTGTGACTTTTTTTTCTGTAAACATACAACATACATATCACTGATAGGTATAATGGTCACTTCATTTGAACTTTCTCTAATTAATTTTGGGCTAATCAATAAATTCTTTCAAAACACAATGCATAAATGATTTCTGTCACCCTCCTCATCCTTACCCACTGGTGGCAAGTATAGCACGACAGGTTTCATGAATGTTATTGTTTAATGCGTGTGAAAAAATATAAAAATAGGATCTTCTGAATACCCAGCACTAGACGGCCGATTTGAAGGTGATGGAAACGCACGCCTTCGCCAGCGTGTCTGTCAAAAGACATGCGTCCGATTTTGCCTCAGCCATGCTGGCAAAACGGCACTCGCACAAGTCTGCATTTTTCGCATGGAGTCTTATCGTCGTAATTCTGTATTTCCCTCGATATCATTTCAATTGTTTTGTGAAGACGTTTATGTACTGGCTCCAGCTCACGTTAGATATATAAAGTAAATGGGTTGCAGCCCGCGTCAACCCCATTGAGGACGGTTGGACTATCTGGAAACTTTCGATATTGTGCGGCGGTGATATGTCATTATAAAGCATCAGTCAAGCGCAGAAACCAAATCTAATTTATTTTAGTATTGGGCAACCAGTTTAGATGATAAGTTTAATTAATTATAACACTGATGATATGAATTTCATTAGTTTTGTTCACAATAAAAGAGGCTTGCTTGCTTACTCTCTCTCTCTCTCTCTCTCTCTCTCTCTCTCTCTCTCTCTCTCTCTCTCTCTCTCTCTCTCTCTCTCTCTCTCTCTCTCTCTCTTTCTCTTTCTCTTTCTCTTTCTCTCTCTTTCTCTTTCTATCTATCAATCTATCGGATGAGACATAAAATGAAAATAAATTAGTGCATTTAGATTTATTTTTCACCTAATTGCATTTGTCCATATATATTTATGCATTGGTATATAAGTATAATTGTTAATAACAAAATGGAAATCACATTTCAATATTCGCTTTGAAATCCGATTATCAAAGCAGTATTGTATAAATCAAAGAATAGTCAATTATCTGATTAATCATTTCTATTATAGATGCGAGCACTCAAGCCTTAGCATAAATAGTCACCGTGAGGAGGAGGACTAATAACCTAAATATAACAGTTTCATGGAAATAGCGTTGTAGATATCACATACTCCAGCAGCAAAGAGAGCCACACGCCCCTCTTTACACACTCTGGAAGCGGAAGCACCATGAAGAACTTGAGCCGAAGGAATACTGCACTCTTCTGGGAGTGCCTTGGGCAAAACTTGCGTTGATACCATTTCATGGGGCGTTATCCTATGCAAAATAACGTATCGTGGACTTACTTACAAGAAGTAATCAATGTGCATGAAATCCAGAACAGAGAGTTGGTGTAACAACGAAATATGAACAAGGAGGCATGGATTTCGGGGAGGAAATATGTTATGAAATGGACAATTATGTATAGTATTTGCAACAATAATATGATTGAAGAGAGGGAAAGAAAATATTAAAATACTAACAACACTACGATGTGCAAAACAAAATATATGGAAAAGCGAAAGGAAAAATGGGTGCTTGACTATATAAAAAAATAAATGAACTGAGTCCAAGTCCTTGTACAACACATCATTGCCGCCAGGCACTCGAGCGGCTGGTCGCGGTGGGCGAGGTCGTAACTGGCCACGAAAACCGAAGGGCTTTCACGTCCTGTAGGCGAAGATGAAGTAGAGGACGAGACATGCCCACGGCGTGAGGGCGGCGAGGGTGAGGAGGACGACTTTGGTTCTGGGCCACCAGGGAGCGTTGCGGGGAAGGAGGCGATGCCACTTGGATCCCTTGCTCACGCCGCAGCGACACACGCCGCCGGTCTCCGCGCACACACACAGCCCCTCGTACCTGGGGGGACACGGGAGTATTACTGTGAGAATGCGCAGCCGTTTTGTAAATAAAGGCGATAAAGAATAATCAAAGCAGAATAGATTACATTTGTAGATATATAGCTTTATATCGAAAATACGGTTATCATGCCAACAGATCAGCTGATCAATTATACTTTCTAGCTGCCCATGGCTTCGCCTGCTTGCGAGGCGGGGGATGATGATGATGGGCGTGGGTGAGTGTGTTGGGGGTGAGAACAACTGTGGGCTGCCCGTCATAAAGGTGTTGACAGGATTTGCATACCTGTACCTGACAAAGACAATTCGAACCATTAATATCTCTGGTCACCAATACCGAAGAACCTGAAATAAAACTGACATAATGGCAATAACAGTAATAGCAGTAGGATTAAAAATAGAAATAACAGTAATACCAATTATCATTATTCCCACAATCACTGGTAGTAGTAGTAGTATCATTATTATTATTATCATTATTATTATTATTGTTATTATTGTTGTTGTTGTTGATATTATCATCATTATTGTAATTATTATTATTATTATTATTATTATTATTATTATTATTATTATTGTTATTATTATTATTACTACTACTACTTCTACTATCATCATCATCATCATCTTATTATTATTATCACTTCATAATTATTATTATGATGATAATAGCAGTAGTGATTATAATAATAACAATAATAAATGTTATCATTATTACCTATATATCATTATTATCATTACTATTGATAATTCTATTATTATTATTATTATTATTATTATTATTATTATTATTATTATTATTATTATTATTATTATCATTATTATTATCATTATTATTATTATTATCAGTATTATTATCAACATTACTATTATTGTTATTATCGTTACTATTATTGCTACTATTACTATTATTACTATTATTTCTATTATTACTATTATTACTATTATTGCTATTATTACTATTATTACTATTATTACTATTATTACTATTATTACTATTATTGCTATTATTGCTATTATTGCTATTATTACTATTATTACTATTATTACTATTATTACTATTATTACTATTATTACTATTATTACTATTATTACTATTATTGCTACTATTGCTATTATTGCTATTATTGCTATTATGACTAATATTAGAATAATTAGAATAAAAATGATAATAATGATAAAAATTATAATATGAAATAATTAATGAAAATCATCATTACTTTCATTATAATAATTATCATTATAACAATAACAATAACAATAATAATAACAATTACAATAATAATAACAACAATAACAATAACAATAACAATAATAATAACAACAATAACAATAACAATAACAATAACAATAACAATAACAATAACAATAACAATAACAATAACAATAACAATAACAATAACAATAACAATAATGATAGCAATAATAATGATAATGATGATAATAATAATAATGATAATAATGATAATAATAATAATGATAATAATGATAATAATGATAATAATAATGATAATAATAATAATAATAATAATAATAATAATAATAACAATAATAATAATGATAGCAATAATAATGATAATGATGATAATAATAATAATGATAATAATGATAATAATAATAATGATAATAATGATAATAATGATAATAATAATGATAATAATAATAATAATAATAATAATAATAATAATAACAATAATAATAATAATAATAATAATAATAGTAATAATAATAATAATAATAGTAATAATAATAATAATAATAATGATAATAATAATAATAATAATAATAATAATGATAATAATAATAATAATGATAAGAAGAAGAAGAAGTAGAACAATAATGATAATAATAAGAACAATAATGATAATAATAAGAACAATAATGATCATAATAAGAACAATAATGATAATAATAAGAACAATAATGATAATAATAAGAACAATAATGATAATAATAAGAACAATAATGATAATAATAAGAACAATAATGATAATAATAAGAACAATAATGATAATAATAAGAACAATAATGATGATAATAATAATAATAAAAACAATAATAATAATAGTAATAGTAATAGTAATAATAATAATAATAATAATAATAATAATAATAATAATAATAATAATAATAATAATAATAATAATAATAACAAAACAACAACAATAATAGTAATAATGATGATGATAATAACAATAATAACAATAATAATAATAATAATAATAATAATAATAATAATAATAATAATAATAATAATA